AGCAATGCCAACACCACTCACACATGGGGAAGTTCTGCAGGGACTTCTGAGGTTGATGCATTCAGGTAAGCCCTGAGCTCTGCAGCAGCATCCCTGTAGGCACCTATTGCCCAACCTCCAGCTGCAGAACACTTGACACAAAGCAGGAGGTGACTGTAGGGCTAGCTTTCCCCTTCAGCATTGCACGGAGGTTAGTTACAGCCTGAGGTTTTGGCTCCTTAGATGCACCTGTGAGGGTGTGTGCACCTTCATCCCACACCCAAAGAGGCTCAGCTCTGACACACTCAGCTAATGTAGCTGGTGATGGTGTCTGTGAAGCTCTTGTGGCAGCCTCTGAGTGAAGGAATGTTGAAAAAATGGTAGCTGCTCTAACTAGTGTAATTACAGTGGGGTATGTAGACACAGGACAAAAATATTAATCCCTCCATGTTCTCCAGCTGCATAATCTTTGTCCATGTGGCCTCTGGGCCATTGGCTGATAATAAGCACCAGGGGCTGATAAAGACTGATCACACTGGGCTTTTTGGTCATGTTGACAGTTGATACCACAGAAGCATCAAATCACGGTCTACCTTGGTCTTACACTGAGTACTCAAAGGTGGAAAGCACTTCCTTGCCCCAATTTCATTCTCTAGATGCTTAGAATCTGAGAACTTTAAGACATGCAATTAGATTGTGTATAGAATTATGGGAAATTCCTGAAATAGTGAAGTGTAAGATAAAACTACAATTAAATATGATCAAGCATTCATAGCCTTCTTGCGTGACTAGTTGGGATGTTACTTGCATCACAGCAGGAAATGGTCTCCCCTTTATTCCTCTCATTTTTTCCATTATGCTTCATCTCATGTAAATATTCTTCTGGAAAATAAGCTATTTTCTTTCAAGTGCTTACTGCCACTCAGATTTAGCTGTAACCTCTATATGCATCTAATCACCACTCTTGAAGACAAATGAGGGGAAAATTTAGCAACCAATTGATCCAGAGCAATTGTACAACTTACTTACACAGAATATATGTAGGTGGACTAGAAAATGAATACCAAAATGTATTTCTTAGCATAGCTAGTCCTCTGGACCCTGTGAGGAGATTATTAATGCTTGCTCTTAATAGCAAAAACAAAAGTAAATCCTGTTGGTAATAACACAGAATCACCACGGATAATCTGAAGCAGGTGAAGATAAATGTGAGTTAAGTCCATTAACCAGTTTACCATCTCTAAAGGTGACATAAGATGAACAACTTGGGGTTTTTTACTGAATTCTGCAAATGTTGCTTTTTAGTTCTTTGATTTAGATAGTGCAGTTATCAAAAATAAATGCAGAGCACCCAAAGAAGATTTGGTATGGAAAGCAGGTGTTTGGGTGTAGTCCAATTTAATTTGGGATAAAGAAGTTAAAGATAAGAAGTAGATTCAGGTGGCTGTCTATAATATTTTTATTTGTTTGAGGTTTGTCTTGGTTTTGGTGGGGGTTTTTGGGTTTTGTTTTGTTTTGTGTTGGTTTTTCATTGTGTTTTTGTTGAATGGAGACCTCACTTCAACAAATACTTAATACTGAATCTTGAGTATGTGGATAGCTGGGCACAAACCCCAGACTTTCACTGTGACCTTCAGTACTACAGGCAGTGGAGAGAGTGGTGCTGGTCTCATCTCTGGGAGCTAGAGATAGGACACAAGGAAATGGGAGGAAGCTGCAACTGGTAATGCTCAGATTGGACATCAGGACGAGGTTCTTCATCAGTCACCAGAACATGCTTCTCAGGGAAGCAGTCCCCAAGTCAAGAGTTAAAGGATTGGATGACATCATTTTGTGGTCTATTTTTAGGTAGTTCCATGAAGAGAATGGAGGTGGACTTTCTGAATCTTACAGATTTCTTCCAACATGAGATATTGCATGAGTTGCTAGAAGAAGAAAAAATCTGTCCCCTGATGTGAAAGAGCTCATTGCTCAGGGGTGGATAGTCTGCCACAGTCCTCAGCAATGTGGAGGAACTCGACACATAGAGGAATGTGAAATCACCATCAGTGAAATTTAAATATTTCTCTGAAGAATTAAGCCTGTCAAATCATTCATTTCTAATAAGTATGTACAATTAGAAGGGACTTCAGACATACAGATCAGGATTTACTTCCTTCAACATAGATTAGATTCTTCAACATAATAGCGATCTAGATAGTGATTTAGATCCTTCAACATAATTTAGAAATTTTTTGCAATTTATTTAAGTTTTCTTTTTAGAATTAATCTTTAGTGTTTACCACAGAAATGATAAATAAATAAGCCAAAGAGTAGAATATATAAATTAGAGAGGTTTGCAAGGAGAGGAATGTAAAACCTTTTTCAGCTGTGTTTTGGCTAATTGCTTCTAGCACACACACTTTAAATGCCTTGATCTTTGTATTAGTTGGCTGTATTTCTAAAAAAAAAAAAAAAAAAAAAAAAAAAATTATTCTTAAAATAAGTGAAGGGTTTGACCAATACAGAGTTGGCGTACTAAAAAAAGTACTGCATTTATGAAAGGTGTGTATCATACCTCACCATACCCACTGAGGACACAGACTGGATAAAACTGCATTTAGAGTTAGCTCAAAGCAGCCAAGTTTTGGCTGGCGCTGGGTTGGTGAACCTTCCATGTGTAACACCTACACTAAATCTGAACACTGGTGAGCAAGAGAAAAAAGAATTCTGTGATGTACTGATCCAGGAAATGAGTGTATAACTGTACTGTGTATCTGCTGCCGAATGGTGTAATGTATACCCAATGTCATGAATTCTCACAGAAATACTGACAGAAGCAGCTGTGAAATAGTGTGACAGTGGGGAGAGTTTGGTCTAACTGAAATAACTGTAGGGCTTGGCTGCAGCCTGAAATGCAAGGATTTATGACTTTTGTAAGAAGATTGAAGCATCATATTATAATACTGATTTTTTTACTTTGCTATAAATAGCCCTTTCTCATTTTCTTTACCCAACTCACCCATGGTCTTCTTTACACCCCACACAAGAGTTTTTTATAAGCTAATTGCATTGTTTCAGCAGCTGCTTCAGGACTTAATGGATACTTTGAGGTAGTATTGCATCTTGCCTGTAGTACCTGACAGCAGTATAAGCAGGACAGCACAAAACTTACTTGCCACTTCCTCCTCAAAGTTACTGTATATTTCCACATGCAGTGCTCTTCTGTTATCGTCACCTTCTTGGACTGTCATTTTGGCTGTCTTCATATCAGAGAAACAAACTCTGAGAAACTGAATTTCCTCCATCTATCCTCTAATTGGTTCCTTTAAGAAGATTATATATGTAAGTAAGATAAGCCCTACAGAGAAATCGGGCCAGGAGCACCGGCATTCCCTGCCGGGTGGCTCCGGGGAGCCGCCGTGCCCGGAGCGCGCTCCTTCCCGCGGGGAGCCGTGGAAGGCAGAAGGCAGCCGGGCGGGTGGGAACGCTCCAGAGGGCAGAAATGGAGGTGCCAGGTGTCCTGGCTGCTGTCGGTGCAAGCAGTGCAATTAAAATTGATCAGCATAATGGTTTTAAGATATTTTGTTTGTTCCTTTGCTCTTTTAATCTTTGAGACTACAGTGAGCAGCAGCTTTCAGTGGCATTTTCTGTGATGCCACCTCCTCCTTTATTATGTGTTTACAACTGGTACAAGCCTTGCAGTGGGTAGTTAGACTTCGTATTCTCTTGCCTGGATCGGTAGCGAGCTGCATCTGCCGCTGCCCTGGCACCCCTCCTCCTCTCTGCGCTCACCTCAGCTGCGTGCCATGGCCGTCCTGCTATCGCCCCTTCCGAAAGCGGCGGGCAGAGAGGTGCCTCAGGCCACCGCCACTCTTGTCCCATTTTCATAAAGAAATGTAGTTAAGGAAGGTGAGATATGCCGTGCTGAGAGGCAGCACTGCTGCTCTCGGCTTCCCGGTAGGTGGGAGTGTAGAATTGGGTTGCAGAAGCAGCCAATCCCTCCGCTGAGGGAGAATTATTCTCGCGTTTCAGGGAACGGATATCGTGGGGGCTCCTTGGCACCTCGGCCTCTCGCTTAGTCCAGGAGAGCATGTTGTAACGCGAAAGGAAAGATTCTGCGTTGTAATCCTCTCGTTGTTAAAAGAGCGAGGAGACAGTAGAAATTTAAGAAGGGAACAAAAAATGTCGTAGAGAATGAAATTAAGGATTGCTCAGAAAATGAGCACGTAAAGGAGGAGAGAGGGGCTGACGGCGGTATGGGCAGGGAGGGCGGGAAAACGCCCCGGCTGCCTCCCCGGAGAGCCCCCGCCCTCACCCGCAGCTGTCAGTGAAGGCAACTTTTCGGCGGGGGTTCTCTCTCCCAGCCCCGGAGCGGTGCGGTACCGGGGCGGCCCTACGGGGCGGGGGCGACTGCGGAATCCCTGCGGCGCTGCCCGGGCTCCGGGGCTTCCCCTCCGGTCTCGCCCCGCTCCCTCACGCCCTGGCAAACGACTACATTTCCCAGCACTTCCCTCTTCCAAGCGGGCTCTGCGGGGAGCCTCGCCGGCTCTCGCCATCTCCTTCGCTGGCAGGGGGCTCGGCGCGGCGGCGGGGCGGAGCTCGGCAGCCCCGGCCCCGCGGCAGCCGCGGCCCCGCAGCCCCCCCGCCCGTGCAGGCGCGGAGCCGGCGGCGCTCGGCGGCGAGCGGGGCGGCGGGCAGCGCCATGCGGGCTGCCGCCTGCCTCCTCTGCCTGGCGCTCGGCGCCCTGACAGCGGCCGCAGGTGAGTGGCGGTGGCGGTGGCGGTGGCGGTGGCGGGGCAGCGCCGCCGCGCTTGGGGCGGGGGCGGCGGGGAGGGGGGGACGCTGCGCTGAGGCTGCTGCGGAGCCCCGTGGAAACGGAGCCCCCGCTCCAGCCTGCGCGCCGGGGGCGAGGGCGCAGCCGGGTGACAGTGCCTCTCCCCTGCGCAGGAGGCGCCGGGCCGGCCACGGCGGCAGCGGGGCGGCAGCGGGGCGAGAGCCCCTTCGCGGAGCGAGAGAGCATCAGGCCCCTGCGGCTGGTCTCCGGCGAGGGCGGCGGCGGGGCGCGGTGGCCGGCGCTGAGCACGCGGGTGCGGAGCGAGGCGGCGCGGGCACAGGTAAGCGCCGGGCGGGGGCACAGGGGCCGCGCAGCAGGGCCGGCCGTGCCGAGCTGCCCGCAGCCTCCGCCGCGGGTGCTTGCACCGCCGGAGGATAACGCTCGGGGCAAAGGGATGCTCGGCTCGGCTTCCCGCAGGAGCGCGGGGAATGCCAGTCCTGGGCAAGGGCGCTCGAATTAGTTCCGATGGTCCCCGTGCCTGTCAATGCCCTCCCCCGGCCGGCAGCGCGGCCCGGGCGGGCACTGCCCGCTGCCTGCGGCGGCCGGGGCACCCGAAATGAAAGTTGCGGTGCCTTTGCGACAGCGGGGCTTGAAGCGCTGCGGCTTCATTTCGGCTTGTGGCTGAAGCGTGGGCAGGGTGGGTTTGTGTTCTGTGGACTCGGATGTGTTTTTAAAAATAGAAATTGTACATCGGAAGGGAATTGCTTGAAATGTAACATGTGAGCTAAGCACAGGATTTAACGTACATCTTGCCTGCTACCCAACCCGGGGTATATTTTCAAATTCCATAGAATCATAGAATCCTTGAGGTTGGGAGAGACCTCTAAGACCATCGAGTCCAACCATTAATCTGGCTCTATTTGTGTTAAAAAACATATTTTGATTGTATGAAGCCCAATCCCTATAACTTTTAACAACCTCATTTTGTATTAAAATACTGTGGTTTTCATCTTGACCCCTTTTGTTTGAGGTGGTACATGGCTGTTATATCTGAAGGAAAAAAACATTAAGTCCATATTGTTATTGATGTAGAATATAAAATCTGAGCATTTGAAGTAACTGCTGACCTACAAGATGAGTTGCAGGCCTCCGTTTCCTCCTTTTCTAATTGACTACTGTGTGTTTAATAAACAAAATAGGTGGAAAATTGTCTCATATTTCTTTTTTTTATAATCCATGAAGTTTAAGAACCGACAACTTGCATTCTCTTTGTTTTGTTAAATAATAAACAAGCTCTTCATAGCATATGTATTTGCCTCTGAATGTAACTTACTCTATGTAAAGGTTTTTCAGATATGATGACCATATTTACAGTACAATAAAATACTCTTCTCAAAGTTCATAATGCTTTGTTCAAAGAAGAAAAAAACTCCTTTAGGCATTTCAGGATTCTTTGAAGACCCCCAAAAAGTCACAAGTTCAAACACTTTGTGACATGTCTGTTTTAAACTTAGTAATGGTTGCTTTTAACTTTAGTATTAGGCTTAAAACACTGGTCTTACAGAACAAACTGCTTATTAATGGATTTCATTTTTCTGAATGTCTCAGCTTTTACTCACCAAATCTTAAGCTCATAAAATTTTCAAGTTACCCTGATCTAGTTAAGTTGTTAGTATGAATATTAGTCTGAGCAGAAAAAAAGTAGTAACATGGATGGTTTTGAAAGGGTTAAATATGTTTATTTCGCAACAACCTCCACGGTAAACTAATGTTAATGTGTAAAAGCTCTGATGTTAATGTAAAAGCCACTACAACTTTTCTTCTTGATCAAGAAGTTTCCCCACCGCTGCTTAAAATATTCCCAGCCTCTTCCATGGTATCTGATGGTTGTTACTCATGGAAGGATACAGTAGCTGACAGTGCTTTGGACAAAAAAAATTGCCAAGCAGGCCGAACGGAGTGAAGCAGTGCAGACTTTCTGTGATTCTGGCACAGAGCATGGTTACATCCTAATTGCAGGATATTGCATCCCCTGCCCAGGGATCTGAGTCAGCTCGCCTGTAATGGACCAGCAGCAGCGTGGCTGACTTTGCTTAGCTCAAGCTGTGTAGGAGCTGCATTCAGGAAGGTGCTCGTCAAAGTTATGGACTAACTTCACAGAGTGAACTTTGATGGTGCTTTTGGGTGTCTGGTGAATGGCACATGAAGTATAAAGATGCTGGATTCTTCTCCCACATGAAGAGACACCCCATGCCTGCCCTGAAGAGTTAACAGTCAGTGGCATATAAAGAGTAGGGAACAGATCAATACCATTTCCATATGTATTCGATTGTTTTATGGTTAAATACACTCTTACTGTCTCCATGTTCTATCCATTGCTAATAGTCTTTGAATAGCTGTGTTTGAGAGTTTAAAAAGCTGGTCTTGAACAGAGATTTCAAACCAAAGCTATCTGCCTTCTGGGTTAGTTAAGGGAGCATGCTTCTTTGAGGAGGTAAAAGCATTTGAGAAGAATCCTGGTGAGTAAAGGACTAGCAACCATGTCAGGAAAAACAAAGATTCCTAAATGGGAAGGTGCATTCAGACTAGCCAACAAGGCTGTAGTTGAATTAATGTAAAACAATGTAGTTGGATTTGAATCGGATAAAGATAAAAGGGGTGAAGGAGGGGAGAGAGAGATAAGCTGGAGAGAAGGAAGTCGCATTAAATCGGATTGGATTCCTTTAATTCCTGGATGAAAGCTTTAGCTGCAGAAAGGGCAGAAGTTGAACAAGAAGGATGCAAGCCCGAGTTCAGAAATGCACAAAGGCAAATGAAGATGATCATGCAGAGGAATGCAGAAGAAAAGCGTGGCCATTGCAGATCAGGAGTTTTAGAACAGGATCATGATGGAATTGAGCCAGAGGATAATATGAGAAAAGGGGATGAGAGGAGATAATTGAAGGCAGAACTGACTGGGATATGATGGGTGGTGGATTTCTAAAAAGTGATGGTTTGTTTTCAGTATTTATTGAGGTTTTTCTTTAGCAACTTCCTCGGTTTTGTTTGTTTTGGGGTTTTTGGGCCACTGCCATCAGAGTTGAGTAACTTCTCTACCTCCATGCTTTACTATTAAATAGTAAAGGAAATAGTCTATATACTCATCTTAGAAACCCAGAATGTAATTGCTTAAAAACATAATCAATGTGCTCACAGTTGTGGTTGTCCAGGATTGCTGAACCTCAGAACACAGCACAAGGCAAATGTTGTAGGCTATTACATCTTCATGTCATTAATGTTCTAATGTACAATATATAGTGGACATTGGAGAATTCACGTGACTTTGGGTTTCTGCTTTTAATTCCATTGCAGAATGGAGTCATTACTGGTATCTGTGACACTCCTGTATTTCAATTTCTCTGTTCCTCAAAGGGTGCCCGTTGGCAGCTGCACAGCACTTAATGTATAGAATAATCAAGATAAGATATAGCTAAAAATACACTAATATTATATTGTCATCAATGCAATCCAGGATCTTAGCAATGGACACCTAATTTACTGGTGCATAAATAAGTGTATTAGAAGATGAGAGTCCTCTATGTCAGGGACATTTAGTGAAGGCTAATCTAATATTTTTGTGTTTAAAAGAAGGAAAGTTCCCACCTTTGACATTTTTAAGGAACCTTTTAACTTTGTGCCTTAAGCCATATTTTGGTATTGTAAGAAGCACATGAGAAACCACAAGTTTTGTAGTGTTTTCCTTTAGTCAATACTGTGCAGGCATGTTCTTTGTTAAAATATGGGAATGTGTAAGTGTCCCTCCCCACTGCCTGTATTGCCATTATCCATTTTTAATACATCTAAGTGTTACATGGAAGTTTGTGAGATTTTCTATGATTTTCAGTGGGAACAAAGTTCTGACCTGCTGTGGACAGAGATTCACTCCTCTCTGCTGGTTGTGCAGGACATCCATGATATAGCAATTTCTGTTTCTCAAGCTGTTTTTCACTTGCTCATTGCCCGTTGTCATTAAGATACATTGAATTCCTTCAAAGAGAGTAAAAGGGATGGCCTGGTTGTAGGGAGAGCCTGGAGGGGCTCCAGGACTGAGCTGCATCTGGAGATAGAAGTGCATGTTTTTTGTATTCCAGAGTGAGTCAGTGGTTTTCAGTAAAGAACTTACTTGTCTTCCACAGCCTGCATTGTTTGTGACCAAATGATACAATTGCATGCATCTATTTGGAATTATGGCTTGCAGATTTCTTAAATGATTTCTTATTGCTAATAATGAGTTTCAGAGAAGCTTTGCTCAGTCATGCTGAGTTTGCATAGCTCTGCTTGCTCTTGGATTTGAAATCTTCATTAGTTATTTGAGTGTTGTCTAGTCTTTGCTATTGGATTCTCTGATTTATTGTCATCTCACTCTAGTCATCAAACAGGATATCCCACTTCTTTGCAGGTGCTTCTGAAATTGCTGACTCTTGCTTTCTGTTCTGATGCTGTCGATTTCTGATGGTATTGTAAGTTACTGTGTTGGGTAGCTCCAATGAATAGTATTTTTTTTTTTTCTTAAAAAAACAGCTCTGACTGTTGAGTGGCTTATAAAATATCTCTAGAGTTTGGGACTGATGGATGGTGACTGCTGAAAAAGAGAAGTGTCATCAGAAATTGCTTGATTAAAAAAATTATTTTCTGCCCACTTAATCAAATGACTTGAAGAAACTTAGGCACAATTTTTGATCATCCTAACAGAAAACCAAAGGGAAGGAGGCTAAACTGGAAAGGGGCTATAGTGAGTAATAACATGCATTTGGTTTATTGCTGAATTTGGTTTTCTTCCTGCCTTGTTGCCTTTTAAGATTTGTACGGCATTAGGAAAAATGTGTGTGATACTTTACTGTATGTTCAGTGTATGCAGTTCTACAATAAGATACTTCACCAACATGGCAATTTTTTATGAATATGTGAATGATGGTTAAAATATTCACACTCTAGATGCAGGTCTTACCTTCCTGAAGAAGAAAAAAACTGCTGAAAGCTAAACTTTGCTATAGATTGTGTATTGAATGATGTAAGGACATTGAGGGTGTCTTTTGATTTTTGAGATACCCTTTTTATAAAGAACTCACAGTGTGTTTTAGTATTTTATAGGCAAAGAATATTTCAAATTCCTAATTTATCCTTCTTTGCAAGTTCATATCAGGAAAAGTCTTTCCCTGCTTGGTAATGAGATTTGTTATGTCAGTAAATGTATAAGTCCAAAAAATCATCCAGCAAAAAATCTCTGGTATCTGCTGCTTCAGAGTTCATGTTGTTTTGTGTCATCTTCTCATGCTTGTGCCATAGCAGACTGGAAAAGGC